TGTTTTTATTTTTCGTATTTTGAAATCTCTTTTGATAGTAGTTAAAATAGTCATTACTTGTATAAATATTATGCTGAATCCTTTCTTGATGTAGAAGTAACAATATGTCTGCACAATGCTATAGCAGCTATACCAGTGCTGTGAACCTATTTTCTTAGCAAGAAATTTTTCTAGATATCAGTTTTTAAAACATTTATTAGTTCTCTTGCTTTTTCGTACTTGTTCTGTAATCTTGACTAACAAAATGACAAGGTTAAATATATATGTTTTATTGCTGGCATATCTTTTTATCGTTCTAATATCTTCTGAAATTTAATGCTTGCATTGCCACATTAAACAGAGATTGGATTGGGATTAACGGGCTTTGGAATATTTTTCTCATTCCTTGGTGTTATGTTCTTCTTTGACAAGGGATTGCTTGCAATGGGAAATGTAAGTGTTATGACAAATTTCATGCTTATGATTTTTTATCTTTCTGCTAACTATGTGGTTCTACTTAATAATATCTTTTGTTACACTTGTCACTCAAATCAGATCCTCTTTGTTTCTGGAGTTTCCCTGACTATTGGACTGAAATCCACCATGCAATTCTTCATGAAACGTAGTAATTTCAAGGTAAACTTTGTCATCTGTTTCTTTCTTTATTCCATGTCTCTTCATGGTTCATTTTCAACCCTAACCTTTTACATATTTACTGGTTCTGTAGGGAACCATTTCATTTGGTATTGGATTCATTATTCTTATCTTGGGGTGGCCTATTCTGGGCATGATTGTGGAGTCTTATGGATTCATCGTACTCTTCAGGTTTAGTCAAAATAAAAAAAGAAATCCTGTTATATGAAGTATGTTTTGTGCTTAGGACTTATGATGAAATGATATTTTGCAGTGGTTTCTGGCCTACACTGGCTGTTTTCATTCAGAAGATCCCTGTTCTAGGTTGGTTGTTTCAACAACCATACATTCGATCGGTAAGTTGAGCTGAAATGTCTTTTTACTTTCATCATATTGCTTAAGCATTTACATTACCATTTAGTAGAGCTATTTGTTTTAGAATTTGAGCTGAAATGTCTTTTTCTATCATCATATCTTATGCTTCTGCATGTTATATCAATACTGGATTTTGATGGTCTTGAACAAATCTTAGTTACTGTGGTAGATCTGAGCTTCTACGTTTTCAGTGATAAATGTCTTAAAGAAAAGTTGGGTGCATAATATGCTGAAATGATCGAAATCTGCTTTTTCTGTCAACTTGCAGTTATTGGATCGATACAGAGGCAGACGTGTGCCCGTGTAGCACGTGGAACTTTAGAAGATTATGTAGCTGCTAGCAAGCGCATATGTAAGTCACTGTAAAGATAATACTCTGATATGGAGACCCGAGTCTGAATTGTGATGGTAGAAAAGTGTGATAGCCATTTTATTCAAAGAAAAAATGGTTTTTGTATTCGTTTTACAAGTCCTTTGTAGTCTCTTTTTGATTCTGACGCTTATGGAAAATCAATTAATTGGTCTTCGGAGTTCTCAGTTCTTCAATTTCATCTGCTTTACTATTCTAATCAGATGACATCTCTGGAAAGGTTTGTGCGCTTGGAGTGTTACTACTTGTGAGAGGAATATAACAATTTTAAATGATATCAAAATGGTGTTAGCGCAGCAATATGGGGATTTGATATTTTTATTTATTTATTTGTAATACACTCTTCCAGGGAGTGTTGGATTGACTGTAGAATTAAATTTTTTGAAATATAATATCTTCCTAATTCATTGTGGTGCCATCTATTAGATTCTTCGCAGTTAACCCTCGGAATAATGTTGAAAGCTTAGTTGACTTTCACTTGAAGCATAGGAGTTTATGCTTTACTGGATTCGTTGTAATTAAATAGTAACCTAAATCAATATACAAATTAATTGAGATTTGTTTTTGTTTGATTTAAATTTAATATAAAATTTGAATTAAGTTCAAATAATGTTTTGCTATTCAGTTTGTATGGCGTGTGCAATTTCTTATAAAAATGTAA